CCAAACACAACTTTGTGTAAATTAGAAAAAACTACCCCTTCATCAAGATGTTTTTATTGTCCTATTCTGGAAAATTTGTTTATGAATAAGCAAACCTCTGCTGTCTGCAAATGAGAGTGGGGCCCATTTAGATTTTGCAGTGTACAAATTGCACGACAGTCTATGGCAGCCCTAAATAGGAAGAAATTTTCTTCAGATTTATATTTATTACATATACAATATTATAACATCATTAAGCAAACTATTTTTCAGAAAGTACTTTTTACACATGATTTACCACCTCGACATATCAGTTATTTTTAATTTTTCCAAGTTTCTTTCTAGTCTCAACCAATGTGCACATATATATATATATATTTTTATTTCAACATATTATGGGGGTACAAATGTTAAGGTTACGTACATTGCCCATGGCCTCCCTCCCCCCTTGAGTCAGATCTTCAAGTGTGACCATCCCCCAAACGTTGCATATATTTTTAAAAAGTATTGCAATGGCAATGAGTATGGAACTTTCTACTTTGATTTTCCCACTTAAAATAACAGAAATAACATTTTTTTGCATTGCCATATTGTCTTTTTAAAAATGATTTGTTATATATCAAGTGAACATACCATAATGAATTTAACCATACTTATTTTGTAATTTGAGGAACTTTAATCAACATGTTATGATTGATAATATTCTATACATAAGGGGAAAAGTTACATTGAAAACTTTTGGAAAGAGGAGTTGTTTATATGGTAGAAACAGGTGAAATAATATATATTCTTCCAAACAATCATACCAGGATGAATATTTTATTGGAATATGGCTCATAAAGAACTGAATTTGTATCTGGAATTTTTGGGGGGTCTGCATAGATTATATTTCCTCATTTGTGTTTACACTGTAATGATCCACTGTAGGATGAATCTTCTGGAGTTACATTCCACATCGACACAGTGCAACAGGCTACACTGCAGGGAAGCAATGGGGTGCAGTGGAAAGCATGTGGGTTTTGGAACCAAACAGACTTGGACTGCTGTGCTTTGAAAGGTTGTGTTCCACGGAAAGACATGTTCAAGAATGCTCATAACAGTTTTATTTATAATAGCCCAAAGTAGGAAACAGCTCAGATGTCCATCAATAGGAAAATGGATACATAAACTGTGTTATATTCATGGAACACTATTCAGCAATAAACATATTGAACTGGGCCGGGTGCAGTGGCTCACACCTGTACTCCTAGCACTCTGGGAGGCCGAGGAGGGTGGATTGCTCAAGGTCAGGAGTTCGAAACCAGCCTGAGCAAGAGCGAGACCTCGTCTCTACTACAAATAGAAAGAAATTAACTGGCAAACTAAAAATATATAGAAAAAAATTAGCCGGGCATGGTGGCGTATGCCTGTAGTCCCAGCTATTCGGGAGGCTGAGGCAGGAGGATCACTTCAGCCCAGGGGTTTGAAGTTGCTGTGAGCTAGGCTGATGCCATGGCACTCTAGCCCGGGCAACAGAGTGAGATTCAAAAAAAAACAACCAAAAAAACTAGATTGAACTACTTATACACACTAAAACATAGATGAATCTCAAAATTATGCTCAATGAAAGAAGCCTTACACAAGAGTGCATACACTATGGTTCCATTCTCTAAAGATTTAGAACAAGCAAAGGTAATCTATGTTGGAAAATATCAGAACATTGGTTGTGTCCAGAAGTTGGGGTGGGAATTTACTCAGAAGAGAAATGAAGGAACTTTTTGGGATGATGGTCATGTTCTATAACTTGATAGGGGTTTGGGCTGGACATGCTTATGTGTTTTTCTGAACACATCTAATGGTACATTTAGAATTTGTGCACTGCATTGTATGTAAAATTTGCCTCAAAGAAAAAAAAAGAATATAAATATGTATTGAACTCTACTTAATGATATGTATGCTGGAGTATTTCAAATTACTTTGAAATGCATAAAAACTAACATGGATCAATGGATGGATAGAGGGATTGGTATATAGATAGATGAACAAACAAGTATCGAAAAATGTTGATTATAGAATACCAGGTTTTCCTGTATGGCTCAAATTTTTCATAATATTGGAAAATGTTTTTTCATCTTGGATATGTTTCATAAACTTCTCAGTTTCAATTCTGCAAAATGGAGGTAATAGTATTTACTCCACAAAGTTGTAAAATTTAAAAAAGATTGCCATAAAAATAAGCTTGTTATGTGGTAGATGTTCACATGCCTTGTGATGCTGTTCGTCTTCCCTTTCATACCCTCTTCCCTGCTTTGTCAGCTTATAAGGCATGATGGGTATTTTGGATTTGGTAGCATTGCCGATGAGCCGTGGTCTAAAATGGTATGTAGCAAAATTATTTGGGTTATGAAAAATGAACTATGTGTTGTCTGCCGATTATACATTCCTTGAGTGGAGGGACAGCTATTAATAGTGGTAGTGGCTCAAACTCCAGGGGGGAAGGACAGCCTGTGGTGATATTTGCTCTAAAGAGATTGGCAGAAAGCAGAGAGGAAGGAGAAAATATTATAGGTGATCATCACATGGGTTTTGATATAGAAAAATGAAATAATTATTTAGCTTAGTAGAAGGTCAATGTGTGAGCCCTTGTTTATTTAACAAATATTTATTGTCTGCTGCTGGTATACAGAGCTGATGATACAGAGATGGACAAATGTACAAGACTGACATAGGTGCATGTCCTGTTGGAGTGTATGTTCTAGTAATGCTAAAGTTTATTGGATTTATAGGGATCGGCCTGTTATCCAGAAAATATTTACTGAATATTTACTTGAAATTCTGTAATAACCCAAATGAACATGGTCGACATTCTCCTGGAGTTTATAATCTATCAGAAAAGGCAGATTTAATCAAATCACTGCACCTAATTATAGTCAATGCATTCTAAGTGTGCAAAACACTGGGAAGGAGAAGCACAGCATTAATGGAAACTGGGGCAGAGAGAATATCTCCCTCTAGTTGGATGAAAAGAATTTCCCCCTAAACTTTTCTCTGGGCTAAGAAAATGCAATGAACACAGACAGAGCTTGAGATAGCCAGTGGCCCATGTCAGGTTGACAATGGAACAAAGAACAGAATTAGGTGCAGCAGGGGGCGATGTGGTCAGTTGCATTGTTTGCTTATTGTTTTTGACTTCTGGTTGACTTATGATGCCCACGGAGCTCCTGTACAGTCCGGTTACAGAAAGCAAAGTGAGAATTGTTGAATTGCTTGTAACCATAGTAAAGTATTCTCGAGTCAGGTTTATCTACCGCCTAGTCAAATGCTATTGCAGACACCCTAACACTCCTCTGGTGCCAAGAAGCTGCTAGAGACACAGATCCTGGGATCACAAAACAAAGCAATTATACATGTGACCCACTGCAGGAACATTTCCCCCACTAAGGCATTGATTCTGAGCAGAAAGAAGATAGAAGCCAAGCGAATATGGAGAACAGATGAGAAATATGTGTGTTTCACAGATAAAAACTACCACTCCTTCAATCATAGCGCACACCCTGGGAACAAATTTACTCAGTTGCCTAAGCCATCATTGCATTACACATTCTTTAGTGGGGACAAGCTGATCTGTGGGATTCTGAACTTCTCACCCTCTTAATCAGAAGGGAGCTGAGCTACAGTTGGAGGAATTCCATTTTCCAGCACTATCAGCAGACATACAACAGGTGCATAATAAATACTACTTGAATTATTATAGGGTTGTTTCCATGTGCTACCCAATTCCCTGAAGGGTAAGAAAAATATAGAAATATGTAGTGATGAGCAAAGGAAACATATTGTGATCCCATCAAAATGCTGAAAGTGAAGTTCAGCTTCTGTCTACACAAGCACAAATTCGCTTCATTGTCCAGAGCTAAAAGCCATATTTCATGGCATATTCTTAAGGTCAAGAAGGGCTGAAAGTGGAGGAAGCTGAGAAAATCAGAGAAGCACAGGCTGGGAAGTTAGAAGACAACAGAACTCTGACATTAGATCTCCTGGCTTCATAATCTCAGCATCGCCACTGACTAGCCGGGAAACTTCAGGCAAGTTACCCAGACTCCATTTCCTCTTCTGGAAAATTGGTACCCGCCTCACAAGTTTTTTCACAAGAATCATTTGAGTTAATGCCTTTAGCACAATTCCTGACACATAAAAAGTGCTCCATAAATGTTCATTTTTGCTGAGTGATTTTCTAAGATGATCTCAATTTCCTCTACGAGGTTTTTCATTACATAACTGAAGGTAAAATGTCATAATACTGTAAGACTTTTTATATAAATATATTTAAAAATCAGGAAAAAAAATCTTCTGTCTGATGCCCTGCTTTTGTTTCAGATTATATGACCCCCACACACCCACAATGGGTCATTTAGTCTGGTCTCTTTGAATTGGGAGTGTCCTCCTTCCAACCAGGCAAACATGCAGCCTGCCAGAAGATTCAGGGTTAGTTCTTCTCTTGAAGATAATTATGCCTTATGAAATGGATTACTTTGCTATAATCTCAGGCTATAAAAAGTCTACAGAATCTATATATTATGAATTTGTATGTTTGGTCTCAGGCCTCGGAGAGAGAGGTAAAGAAAGTGTTTACTTAGATCAAAATTAGGTTGAAACACTAAAGATATTTTATGCTTTGTGTAAGTTGGCAAATGCCATGACTCTCGGAATACCAGTCCTGCTGAAAAATTGACACACTTTCCCTCCTGGTATGTCTTTGCATAAATTGTTCCTCTCTCTGCAAGATTAACTGATACCATCTATGAGTATTCTATCCCCACTCTCGGCTTGCATTTAAATCTGCATGTTTCTTTTCTCTGCCTCTTTTCAAAGGTGCAGGAATACAAGAGCTACCCTTAGCTAACGGCCAAATGCTCCGGCCTGAGCTCCTGTTCCCAAGTCTTTTAACCCCTTGTTTCCCAACCCTGCATCTAAAGGCAAAAACAATCCTCCGACACACGGCCCTCCCCCTGCCTGTGATAGGCTGCTGGGAATAGCAACAGCCTGTGTCACTGAAAAGGGCAAAGCCTTCGGAAATAGAAACAAAGTTGGTCACAAATCACACTGGCTTTGCCCGAAGTTTTTCCCCCCACTCTGCTTTAGCATGCTGTCATGGGGAAAGTGACCGCTCCGGCCGGCGGGGGAGGTCGGGGTGGTTTTCTGGCCAGGGAGAGCCTGTAACTTAACTTCTACGTGACCATGGTACCTGTTGAAAACACAGAGGGCCCCAATCTGCTGGACCAGAAGGGGACAGCGGCGGTGGCGAAGGGCGCCTACCCAGCCAGCGGCGGCCGGCATCCTCCCTGGGCGAGAGGTAAAGTGAGACTGCGTGGCTCGGGTGACCCGCTAGGGGAGCACGCTGTACTCGTGTCTCCCTGGGGTGTGCGTGTGCGTGTGTGTGTGTGTGTGTGTGTGTGTGTGTGTGTGTGTGTGTGCATGCGCGTGCGCATGGGAGCGCGCTGGGTGCGTGCAGGGAAGGCACAGTCTGGTGGGACGTGGGGTGCCTCGGAGCTGTAGTGTTGGGAAGACCGAAGTCTTGCTGGGACCCTCTGTGCTCAGAAAACCTGAGTTACGTACCCGCACTGGTAGGATGGGTCCCGCGGATTGTGTTTACATAATGCAATGTAGGAACCTTTTCCATTTCAGAAAGGTCGACCAAGATAGTAAACACTCACAGGCATGCACAAACACACGGACAACACACACACTCACACACATTTCCATTTATTGTCACCAGTGGATACTATGTAATAAGTAGACGTTGTAACCACCGTTTTTTTTTTTAATCAGTATTTTGAGTAGGCTTCATAAAAATTATTAGTTATGTAATCAATGGACACAACTTCCTTTTGAAATTCCCAGCACGTTTGTAACGAATTTGGGTGTTATTCAGAGCCTGAAATGCCTGCCTTGCTGGCTCCTGCATTCTTTAAAATTGGATTTTTGAACTGAGGTTTGTTTAATACCTTTTCCTTCCGGAGGTGAGATTTGGAAAAGTTTCAATTCATTTCTGTTATCTTTGCTAACTTGTCTTCACTTCCACATTTACAATTTCCACAAACACGTTGCACATGTTTTGCTGCTTCTTTCTGTTCATTTAGTTTGTTCTCAAAGGAATAGAAACTAAGTAATATGAAATGACATCAAACACAAATCATCCTCTCCTTCCAATGACTGTCCTCAGCTCTGCTCCTCCTAACCAGATACTACATCCTCAAGCTATGTATTGGGATTTCATGAGAAATCCAACTCACTAAATGATACAAAAGGCATTGGCCTTTCCCCTGAAACTGAAACCTTGGAACTGATCTTGGAACTGAACCCACGACCATTCACACCGAGGCATGAAGCATCCGCTGCTCAGAAGGGGAGAAGGCCTTGTCCGCCCCTGTCCTGCATCAGTCTTCTCTTGCTTTCTCATTTCCCATCAAGAATGAGTATCTGGGGCCATTTTTCAACATGGCCTGCCCTGTCTAAACCAGAGCTGCCCCTTTCCCTAAGTGCTTGCTTCCTCACTAGCTCCCATGTTCCCTAAGAGCAGGCAAGGGAAACTTGTATTTGGGGATAAAGGGGAAGTTGCAAAGTTCTTTTCTCCCAATTCCTGGGAAAGTGAGCTGCAGTGTAGACTGCAGAGCAAGCTGTCAACAAAAGACTTAACTAAAGAGAGTCAGTGATTATGTCAGAAGGAAGATGAAAAGAGACTATCCAGGAAGGGCCTTTGCAGTGACCATTAAAAGTTGACCATTGAATTTGGATGTGGCTTTGAAAGCACAATGTACTCTTAGTAAACTTATGTTGTACAAGTTCACAATTACCCTGAATGAAGCTAATGTGTATTTATGTTTGTAAAAGTTGAAGACACCCACAAAATTCAACTTAAAGTACAACTGTGTTGTTGTAAAGAAATGATAAATGAACAAGTATAAATTATCTTTCAAATTTAATTTTAAATTTTATTATGTAGAAGAGGAAGCCTAAATGTTTCCCTAAAATCTCAGATGAATACAACTTTGATTTGTGCTACATAGAGTTTGCATTTAGATGAAAAGCGTTTAAACTTTTTGTTATTATTTTTATAAATTTTCCTATCTTGTCTTAAATATCTCTTGACACTCAAAAGCAAGTATACATATATATGTAAAAATGCACGCTGTGTAGTTTTGACAAGTTACTTAAGATCTCCACTCATTAACATTGGCATTGTATCTTAGTCTGTTTTATGAAGATGTTGAGGTTTAATGAAATATTTTTCACATATTACTTTTGGCTTCTTTATACTTTAAACTTCTGTAGTTGCTTTCATCCAAGAAATTTAGGGTATTTAAAATATGCTCAATAATTATAATCTTTCTGCATTTGAAGGTAGCAAGCTTTTCTATATTCTTAGATGGAAGAATCAAAATACAAAGAGGAATGAGTTATGTAACCCAGGACAAGGTAATTAAATCATGTGAGATACTGAAAAACAAAACAAAACAAAGCCCCTAAGCTCTGAGATTGAACTCCCTTAATGCAATTGTGCACAATGAAAATTTTTGGCAGGTTTTTCTTGGCTAACCCCTCTTTAACTGAAAAGAATGTTTTGTTCCAATGACTAGAAGCTAATGAACTTAATTCATTTTCAATAAGCTAGGACTCAAAGTGGGTACATTTTAGTAAATTTTTTCAGTGTTCATGGACATGTTCTAATAGATCTTATAGGGCAGGACTGAGCTTGCTTTGAAATCCTGATGCCTAGAGCTGATAGCAGATGAAAGTGTAGTAAGAAACTAGACTGCTGGGGCACCTCACACAGGGGAACTTGAGGTCATAACATGTGTGGTTGGCCCAAGGTCACACGGAGTCTGGTGCAGAACTGACCCTGAAGGCCTGCTCCTTCACCCTCAGCTCTCTGGCTTTTCTTATTTCACGATCTGAACAATTGTCTAGGGAGAGAGTATGTCTCCCTTTGCTCCTGCCAGCACCGCTTTTTTGCGCCAGCACTGCTCTTTCCTCTCCCATCCGCCCCAAAGGTCAGAAACCAAGAACAATATTTCCCGTGTTGAGTGCATGTTCTCAGCCCTGCAGAGAATGCCCCGGGACCCAGAACACGAAGAACCAGACTCACACCCAGCCCAAAGCGCTGTACTTCATCCCCTCTGAGGATGCCAGGCTGGGATTTAAGAGATACATACTTCTGCTAATCAGGTGAACCCCCTAAAGCAGTTGTTCTCAAACATTTTTAAAGCTGTGAGCTCCTTTTTCAGATGGAGGCCGAGCAGGCGTGGTCGGTATGTAAGTTGTCACTGTCGATATGCTTCTCCTGAGTGTCATTCTCCCAGGTTGAGCCTACGCTAGGCCCCTGGAATTCAGTCAGGCCTAGCTTTCCCAGGCTTCCCTGGGCAGCCTGAAGGGCAGTTCGCTTGTAAGAGATGGAGGAGAATTGTGGGAACAAACCCATCTCCAGGGAAAAGAAAATCAGGCAACCAGCTTGACCCGATGACAGCTTTGGTTCTGTGAAGAGAGATTCTAACAGGCAGGCCCAGGCCCAGGCACTAGGATCTCAGGGTTTGGGAGATGTATTCCATTTTTCTATTCTTTCTTTCTTTCTTTCTTGAAACGGAGGTCTTGCTCTTGCTTAGGCTGGTCTTGAACTCCTGAGCTCAAACTATCCTCCCACCTCAGCCTCCTAGAGTGCTAGGATTACAGGCGTGAGCCACAGTACCCAGCCCACACCTTCTATATGTTAAAAAATCAAATATAGAACCCTGTGACACTTGTGCTTTAAAATGACATGTATTTAACAAATCAATGGTTGATAGCAACAACAACAAATTGTTGTGTGTATTATGATAGGTGTGACAGGATTTATAGACATGTTAATTTATGAAGGACTATGGGCTCTTGTGTCTGGTCACAGGACCAGATTTAAAGATAAACATCCCCCCTCTCAGTCCAGTCAGCCTATCACTGTAGCTGCACATCTAACCTCACTTGGAAATCACAGCAAAAGTCTAAATTTGAGGTTTTCGTGACTGTGTGTCTTGGGCAAATGGCTCCTCTGGAATCTCCGGAGAAGCGAGAAGGCTCTAAACAAACATGGTGGGTGGTGTTTGTCACTGGCAGCAGTGCTCTTGTTCCTCTCTAAGGACATGTCACCCAGAGAGGGCAGGTTGCCACTTGCCACAGACCCCTTCCTGGGCAGTGCAGCGGCCGCAGACACACGCTGCTGGGAGCCTGCCATGCCAAGTCCTGGCAGACACGGACGAAGCCAGTCCCAGAGCAGCCAGCCAAGTGGTGGGGCGCACCTGGGTAGGCCGAGATTAGCTGGCGTCCACCAGCATGCCTGAACTGGTTTTTGCAGCCATTCTGATAGGTCAGTGCCTCTGTCCCAGTTGTTAAATATTTTCGACATCGCCAGGTTGCCAGCAGTTATGAGACAGACAGCTGCAATCCCAGGAACATGTCTGGCTGTAGCTGATAGAATCCATCTTATTAAAAGGATTTGTTCTGTAAAATTTGGTTTTAGTCAAAAGGCCGCACTCAAAGATCCAGAAAGCTGTATGTGGCCCCAAGGCCACAGGTTCCCCACCCCTGGTATATTCCTTGTGAATTCTCAAGGGGATACTTTTTAGGGGTCTAGATCTTACACTAGCTGGTAGAAACAGAACTCAAAATACAATGAATCTACCCTAGAGCGGCCTAAGGAAACTCAGATTAGCCTGTGTGTATGAAAGATGAATCAGCTAATTTTTTTTTTTTTTTTTTTGTTGTCCAGGCTAGAGTGAGTGCCGTGGCGTCAGCCTAGCTCACAGCAACCTCAAACTCCTGGGCTTGAGTGATCCTTCTGCCTCAGCCTCCCGAGTAGCTGGGACTACAGGCATGCGCCACCATGCCCGGCTAATTTTTTTATATATATATCAGTTGGCCAATTAATTTCTTTCTATTTATAGTAGAGACGGGGTCTCGCTCTTGCTCAGGCTGGTTTTGAACTCCTGACCTTGAGCAATCCGCCCGCCTCGGCCTCCCAAGAGCTAGGATTACAGGCGTGAGCCACAGCGCCCGGCCTGAATCAGCTAATTTTAAAACACAATTTTTAATTGCTGGATGTGTGTGGGATTTTATTTTTCATTCAAGAACAGTTCATTTTTGAATCATAGTTTCCTAGGTAGCATTGTCACAAGGAAGAACTCAAAGACTATTTAGCCTTGGGGTTAAAAGAGTTCTGAGAGGTCCCAAAGGCCTTCTATTAGTGTGCAGTTAGCTTCTGCTTTTAAGAGTTGAAGCAGCTATTTACTCAGAGTGTATGAACAAGAACTGGTTTTATAAGATTTT